TTCAGAGGTATTACAGTTACTTAAATAACAAATATCACTTCAAGAAACATCTACCTAATGTAGACCGAGGGAATAAATTTTGAGACATGCTCTAAAATGTGTTTTTACTGATGAAAATACCCAAAACTTAGAAAAATAAGGTGGTAGTGGGACGTTATTTGATACAAACATTAACTGCCTGTGTTACGTCACCAGCATCCACGGTATCGACAGGTGAAATTGACACCTGAGCACACAGCTTAGTGAGGGTCATCTCAATAGATGTTTTCTGCAAAATGTTGAATATGTGTGCGTAAAAGTATACGTATTATCGGTTATGTAGGGATCATTTGTGTATGTGTGGTTGTTTTGAAATACCCATCACGAATTACTGTACATTGGAAAGAATCCTACTACTTGTGTTATCTTATCGATTGATTGTAGAAATGTGCAACGTTTTAATACATGTTTTGCATGTCAACAGTATATTTCATTGAAAAAAAATATGGATGTAATTAGGACAGTTTAATCTAGTTGTGAACATTGGCCAAAGATTTAACGGTCACTGTGTAGCTTCTTTAGAATATATATATTCTTCTTCTCATAACGTTTGTAGACCGCCCGTCTAAGCACTCTCTTGTCAAAGTTGTCAAGGATGGTTTTACGTCCCGGTTTTGCATTTGAGACGGTCCCTGTCTTGTATGATTTGTTTACAATATTTTAAACTTGTTGGTAAGACATGCCAACAGCTCTGCAAGTTCTGTAATAAACCCTCTTTAAACTAATGAAAGGTTTATTTGTTTAAGAACACGTTAATTCATATTTTTACACCACCTGTATTATTAGCATAAATGTAAAGACTATTTCAGATTTCTATTGTTGAACTCTGAAAATATCTTAAGTTGCTGTTTTGGTACCAAATTCTCTCCTGTAAACTGCCCTTTAAATGCATGGGAATGTTAAATCGGTTGAAATAAAAATTAGGTAGACAATAGACGAGTTGATATATTGACAACATAGTACATTTATCATTTTTATAAAGATATTAAGGCTAAAAAGCATTTTTCTAGCATTTCCGACAGTTCTTTAATTGCCCACGTGACTACCTTGAATGATCATTCTCTTTCTTGTCGCACGACTGTGTGGACGTGCTGTATATTAGGGACATTATTTCACCCTACCATCATGGGGAAAACAGATAATCAGTCAAGGAAAAGGAAAGTTTGTGCTCAATGCAAGACGAATTATTCGTCCCTCGACCCTCACTCGTCTTGCAGTGACTGTATTGCACAATGTAACTGGAACAAACGATGTGGCAAGTGTAATTCACTAAAAGATGAGGATTTTAAGGCCTACCTTTGTGTTTGCTCCCAGAGAATCGCCGATAGGGACAGGAAATCAACAGAATCTGATCCCACTCCCGCCAAGCGTATCAAGTTACAGCAACAGAAAATCGTACCTTCACGCAAGAGAGCGACGTCTGTGGTTCAAGAGGATTTTATGGACGCTTCATCAGATTCTTATCTGAGGACATTCGGCACCTATTATGTACACATCAATCACCTTCTTCCATAGTGTCAGATCACTAGTGGGTGGTTGTGATCGATAATTCATCATTGCCTGTCCCATCTACACTACCAGGGGACCTTAGATCGACACTATTATCATCCAGATCATTGGTACATATTCCCTCGACTGTCTCAGTTTGTTTGGAGCCTGGCCAACTGCGTTTAACCAGCCAACTGTTCCCCCACAGTTCATGGAACCGGACGGACCTGGCTACAACAACGTCGCCCGGGGGGACATTCGTCATGAATCAACACTTCAGGTTTCGTCACCTAATCGCCGATCCAGATCACCACATCATTCTTGATCACCACAACGATCTAGATTCACCATCACGATCCAGATCACCATCACAAACCCGATCTAGATCACCGTGCCGATCAAGATCACCGGATCGATCCAGATCACAGTCACGATCCAGAGCACAACTACGATCCACATCACCTGATCAATCCAGATCACTTAACCGACCCAGATCACCAAATGGGTCCAGATCACAACTTCGAATCAGATCACCGACCGATCCAGATCACCTAGCCGATCCAGATCACCGAACCGATCCAGATCACAACATCGAAGTAATTCATCGGACTGATCCAGATCACTGGACCGATACAGATCACCGAATGGATACAGATCACAACTTCGAATCAGATCACCGGACTGATCTAGGTCACCTAACCGATCCAGATCACAACATCGAAGTAGATCGCCAGACCAATCCAGATCACCGAACTGATCCAGATCACAACATCAAAGTAGATCACCTAACCAAACCAGATCACCAAATCAAGCCAGATCGCAACTGCACACCAGATCACCTGTTCGATCCAGATCACCTTATAGATCCAGATCACAATCACAGTTTCCAGTTAGTGCATCGAATCGATCCAGATCACTTTACAAATCCAGATCATCCTACCAACCCAGGTCACCTATACGATCTAGATCACCTTACAGAGCCATTGACCAATAGGGATCACAGTACAGATCCACATCTCATGGCCGATCCTGTTCAGATGGTCAAACCAGATCTCCAATCAGAACCAGATGACCAACTAGAACTACAGCGACCCGGACTAGGGAATCCAGATCACCGGCTTACCACCTACTTCGGTACTTACCACGTCGAGAACTCGCTACAGTTCCTCTGACCGACGTTAGGGTGATCATTGCTCTGATATCACTAATAGGCCTACAGTCTCTTATGATGTTCCGTCTACACGCTCTGAGAATCCTTCGACTCACTCTAGGATCATCGCTGAGTCATGGGAACCTGATAACAATCCCACTCCTACAGCGACTCCGGATCTAAATATGATGATCAGGGCCATAACCTCAGCCTGGAACCAAATACAGCCTTCTACTCCAGCCCATCCGGCTTTGGTAGCTCCTAGCTCTTCATCTGGTCCACCTCCTGAGATTGATCCAGTCCAAATAGCCATGCCTGCATCTCCCGCTCACTCTGAGTTATCTACCCCTGGGGGTAGCTTTGCAGCAGTTGAGACACCTCAGGTACTCTTTTGGTTTGTTGAGAAGCTCCAACTTCCCTTGAGTACTTCAGCAGATGACCTGGATCACTCTTATACTCTTAGGAACCGGGATTGGTCTACCATCACCCTACCACCTCGACCTTGTATTCTGAAATTATCCAGTACACTAAATGATGGTTTCAAGAGCCTGAAACGAATTACGGACAGATTCTCTGCTCCCAGATATAATCCGTCTACCTCTCATGTCCACGGCCTAACAAAAATCTCTACGGCTCCAACAGTTGATGAGGATATTGGAACCCTGGGTGGCAAACGAGCTGCTTTGCCCTACCTTATTGAGGACTGAGAGTTGGATCACATGGATTCATCCGTGAGAAAGACGTTGCCATCTATTAGTTGCGTGATTGCAGCAGTCGACGCTGTTAACACTGCTCTGGAGCATACTTATTCTGATCAAGATGCTTACATCCGAGGATGCATGACTTTAGCCCTGGACCAGTTCCAAATTGTCCTGGATCAGTTGTCTCATTTTTGGGGCTACACTCTTGCTGTTCGCCGACGTGCACCCCTTAACATCTCTTCATGGGAGGAGCGATTTAAAAAAGAACTGTTTCACCAGCCTTGGTTTACTGACTCTGAACTCTGAACATTATGACAGTGGCAGGAGCTACTGGGCCTTCTGACGTCAGCTCAAGCCTTAACGTACAGTGGCCAGCTCCAACTTCGGCCGATACAGCGATTTCTACGCCCGTACCTTCAGGCCGACAACCCCAAAGAACTAATTTGCCTTCCAGAACCGCTTCGGAATGTTTGCACCGAACGGAATGTTGGCACCGGAGTCTCTATGATGCCCTTTGCACCGACTCATCACCTATTCGTCGATGCATCCTTCATGGGTTTGGGAGCTCACTTCCTCGACCACCAAGTGGCCGGGCTGTGGTCATCCGACGAACGGGAACTTCATATGAACGAGCTGGAATTCAAGACGGTAATTCAAGCCATCTCACATTGGGCAACAGAGCTTCAATCAACCAGTCTGTTGATTCAATCAGACAATTCGCCAGTGGTTTGGTATATAAATCATCTAGGCTCGACAGGCTCGGCGAATCTGCTACAATGGGCGATCAGGTTCTTCCATCTCATCGACTCACTCAACATCGTAGCCAGAGCCAGACACATTCTCGGGGTAAAAAAATGTGATCGCCAATGCCTTGTCCTGATCCAACCGACCGTCCCCAATAGAGTGGAAGTTACTGCCCCAGATCTTTCAGTCGATGATCTACCCGTTATCACGGCCTCAAATAGAGGTTCGTCAACCTAAGAAGCCTGGCAGAGCCAAACCCAGTACCGCTTCCCAACCGGGATGATCTACTTCTTCAACCTCACTCGGAACTGCGCCACGGTCACCTCAGACACTCAATCTACACGTTTGGCGCATCTTCAGAGGTCTCTCATAGCTAAGGGCTACTCTCGCTGAGTGGCCACAGCTATCACTTCAGCGCATCGTACTTCGACCCGTTCCTTGTACGACAACAAGTGGAAGAAGTTTGAAGACTATTGCAACGTTAGGGGAATTGCATTTCCAACTTCCAACTTTGCTCAGGTCGTTGCTGAGTTTCCCCAACATCTCCGCACTACTAAGGTGAGGTGAGGTGAAATTGGGTTTAACGTCGTGCTTGAGAATATTTCGCTCATATGACGACGTGCATGCGTGTGTATGTGTATGTGCGGCTGCTTGTACTAGCCCAGACTGAAGCTGGTTTTATAGTGCTAGCCCACTGAGATACCATGCTGCAGTGAAGCAGAAGTACCCCACTCAGACACATTATACTGACTCCGAGCCGACCAGTCCTTGTTCTACCCATTAATGCCAAGCGCCAGACAGGGACCAACAAGTACCATATTTTAACGTCTTTTGGTATGCCGCGGTCGGGGATCGAACCTGCGAAATAGACAGACAAGTGTACAAAATGGAGAGAAATGAGGTCACACAGCTTATTCACATCGCGAAAGCGGAGTACTACAAAACCGTTATTACTGAAAATAAACCCAGTACAAAAAGACTATTTTCTGTAAATCAATCTTTGATAAAGCCAAGAAGAAAAGTTAGCATCCAGTCATCGAATGTCAATGAAGAAAAAGCAAACGACTTTGCTGCCTTCTTTCTGAAAAAAGTGGAAGACATATGTTCTGCTCTATCTGCCGGTGAACCAAGCGTAATGCCTCTACAGTATGATCCACAGTTCCCAGGTCAAACACTAAAAGTCCTCAGACATGTCACAGCCACAGAGATCGACAGTCTCGTTGAGAAGGCAGCAAGTAAAACCTGCGCCTTGGACGTGTTACCAACATCTGTGCTGAAGAACTGTAGGGATCCCTTGGTTGGTCCTATTGCCGACATCGTAAACTGTTCTCTCGACTCAGGTACAGTTCCTTCATCCTTCAAAAGAGCACTTGTTACTCCTCTCATAAAAAAGTGACATTAGATGAAACACTGCTGAACAATTTTAGCCCGGTATCCAATCTCCCATTTCTTGCTTAAGTTTTGGAAAGAATTGTATCCGTACGTCTCAGGGAGCATCTTAATCATAACAGCCTTGGAGAAGAATTCCAGTCTGCCTATAAGAGGAAACACAGTACCGAGACTGCACTACTGTCTGTCGAAAATGACATCATGCATTCACTGGACAATCAGGAAACAGTTCTCTTAGTTCTGCTAGACCTCTCTACAGCTTTCGATACTGTTGACCATGACATATTGCTTCAGAGATTGGAACAAACAGTTGGTATTGGCCGCTCTGCACTTCAGTGGTTCAGATCGTACCTCACTGACAGATACCTTCAAGTTCAAATTGATGGATCCAGATGACAAGAATGTGAGCTGCGCTGTGGTGTCCCACAAGGCTCTGCCCTTGGTCCTCTCCTTTTAAACATTTACATACTGCCTATAGGAAATATCATCCGACAGCACAATGTCAACTTCCATGGATACGCAGACGACAACCAGTTGTATATAGGAACAAAACCTACCCAAGTAGTTGCTTCCAAGTTACAGCTTGAACATTGTATCAGTGATATTCAACAGTGGATGACAGCAAATGCACTCAAATTCAACAGTTCCAAAACAGAATTCATGACTATTAGCTCTGGAAAATTACAGTCCAAAATCCCAGATGTAACTCTTGAGATTAGTGGCAGTCATATCAAGCCAAGCAATGACGTGCGAAATCTGGGAGTCAAGTTTGACAAAAACATGACGATGAAAAACCATGTCAAGTCAACATGCAGATCTGCCTTCTTCCAGCTATTTAAGATCAGCAAGATCAAGAAACTCCTTGACAATGACAGTCTGAGGACAGTTATCCAAGCCTGTGTCACATCACGTCTTGACTATGGAAATGCCCTCCTCAATGGGACTACTGCCACTAACATCAAACTACTGCAACAAGTGCAGAACAGCGCTGCGAGGATGCTGACTGGTACCAAGAGAACTGACCATATCACCCCTGTCCTGAAATCACTCCACCGGCTACCCGTAGAGCACCGCATCACTTTCAAGACTCTTTCTATCACATATTCAGCACTAAATGATGAAAACTCCCCAACCTATATTAAGGACATGTTACATCACTACCAACCCACAAGAGCTTTAAAGGAGAATACGAACGAAAACAAAACTTTTGATATATTGTAAAGGATATTCTAAAAGTCACATTCCGTGATTATAATTGAACAAAAAGTTTGTAAAATAGCAATAAAAACACAAAAGCGTACTCGTATTTCCGCCTATTACGGAAACACCCGACAGTTAATGAGCAGAGGGGGTATCACGTGACATGACGTCATAAGTGCCTGTTGCTGATGGCTTTCTCTTTGATTTTACCTCACAACTTAAAGGTCACATGGAACCAAACAATCATACATAATTAAAACACAATTATCACTTATTCGTGACATATAATATACATTGCTGGTTATGAAAAAACATATAAACAAAATTATAAGCGTACAATCGCAGATCAAAAGTGCATATTGTGTACTTCGGTTTACTTCCCAAGAAACGAAGCAGCCGGGATACCGAACCCAGTCAGAGCGGGTAGGTGTGCACACAATTGTAACGGCTGGATCATTTGCAGATGCCCTCACGGCTTATTGTGTGTGTATATGTAGAGATGTTGGTTTTTGTAAATACATGCTCATTTTTTGTGTATAACATTTTGCAATCAACAGACATCATAACATGTCATGTGTTCAAGTATCACACCTGCCTGTCTGTGTAATTACATAATGTGACAGAGACCGAACTCGGGCCATAAATCAATGCATTTTGTTTATGGTGTATAGCCTGATTGGTGTTAAGTTCAAATTGCATGTGGTCAGTGATAGCAGCTGTGTATTAAATATTGTCATTAGCAGACAACGACATATCTATATCACAGTTAGAAATTCTGTCAACGCTAAATAATGACATTGCTTTTAAGTATCGAACTGAGAAAGTGACTCGGTAAGAAGAACGTGTGGTGAAATTATATAAACAGTTAATTTACTGTCATAACATATAAAAAGCTCGCGCCTGTGAGATATCAACAAAACATTAGAAAAATAGCTCACACCAAAGCCTTCACCGAAGTATTCACCGGACAACCCGCTTCCAAGCTGCGTGAACCTATTTCACTGCGCACGTGCTATGAGCGCAGCCCAGCTGTTGAAACCCGTTTTCCCCAGAAAAGTCTGGGGAAAATTAGTGAAACGTTTCAACTCCGATTTCTGCGCGTTTTTTTTCATCGCGTTATTTTTCAACTTTATAAGTTGAATTTGCATTTTTGACGATTTGTTTCGGTAAGTCCATACCGAAAGGTATCAGAATCTGCAAAGTTGTGTTTTACGTTGCATGTGACCTTTAACAGTGTCCGTGGATTCTGGAGCAGTAAAAGATGTTCCTGATGTCATTTCTGAAATGGATGTTAGACCGTATCAATCTTCCACTGAAGATGAAGAAGAACGATCCGATTTTACATCTTGCAAAACAATCTTCCACTGAAGATGAAGAAGAAGAATCAAGCGAAATGGAGGCACCGCTTGAGGTCAAAATAAATTTTAAAATAGACCATATCATTTAACAAGATTACTATTTGTCAGCAAAATGTCATACAGTTCCAGCCAGCAAACTCACCCCTATAAATATATGACCAGTCACTAAGAATTTTATTTTTTTAAATGTGATTACAGTTTCTTTTTGTGTCAAATAGGTGATTGTAGGGATTTAAAAACGAAATAATTATGCTTCAGACGAGGGAAAATAAAAATGATCTGCTTTCAAAAATTACACTGGAATTATTATGTTGAAAAAAGTTAGGATCCTAGTTCTCATTAATAACGTATCAAGTCTCGATACAAGATCCCAGCCTGGTCGATCAGAGATAATATTCGCGACGCAGATCAGTTATTCCCCTGAAAACTGGTGAATTATAAAATACTAGTCAGGACAATGTATGTTTCCCCATTGTTTGGTTATGGAAATTGTTATGGTACTCGGTCATAGCCTTAGAATGACATCTTGTCAGCCAATGAGAATACAGAACAACTTTCACGGCACACACTACTGACAAATAGCGAGTCTGATGCCGACGTGCGTACTTGGACAAAATGGAAAAATATGAAAGCAACAAGTACTTCATGATTTGCCGTTGTATTCGGCAATGTTTCGAGTTGACTGCATCATTTAGGGCTCCAAACCGAAAAGAACGTTATAGCGAAACATTTTCAAGCTCATGTGAAATCACTTACTGATTTTGATAATATATATCTCATGTGTACCAGTCGAACTGCCCCAGCTACAAAATGCCCCAGCAAATTTGGTCATTCATTCTAATTTGTTCAAATTTATTTATAATGATTGAATATATGCCGTAAATGCATAGTTTTTGTCAACTTATTATGATATTATGTTCTTCATATAAACTTATTAGGAAGTAATATTTCTGATAAATGTTTCATTAGTAAACTCATAACTATGTATATACTTATATATGAAGAACATAATATCAAAGTTGACATAACTATGCATTTATGGCCTATATTTATTCATTTTAAATACATTGGGGCATTTTGACTACCCAACTGGGGCAATTTGACCAAATTTGCTGGGTCATTTTGTAGAGGGGGCAATTCAACTGGCAACCGGACTTGATTTAATTTATGTTAAAAATACCACTGACAGTAAGTTGTTACAGGGAATGATGGAGTATAAATGAATCTCATGGATACTTTTTCCTTCTTCAGCCTAGCTTGGGGATTTCCATACCCCATGCGTGCATGTCTCTTTCATATGCGTCCGACTCGGAATGATCGGTGCATTTCTCCTGCCGAAATCTGTCATTTCACTTGGAAAACGGAAGAACTGGTGGTTCTTTCCCATGTTCGATGATGCCGTGCATCCCCAGGCAACACAATACACCATCGTACCATTTAAAAGAACGGCAGAAACAACACGATTTGTACTACTGCAGCGCTTGGTCTTTGGCAATATGGCGGACTCCAGGCACATTTGACTTCACGAGCGGAAAGGTCACGTTGGTTCCAGCGAAATATGCATCATGGTCGAAGCTGAGATTTACAGAAACTGTTTTCGCGATTAAAACATAATTATACAAAAAATGTAATTGAAAATTTGGGAATATGTTTCTGATGACTTTATCTTTTACCCAGCAAATTATTGCAATTGACTCGTATTCTCCTTTAAGATCAGCCGATGATAAACTACTTCATGTTCCTAAAACTAAAACAAAGATGGGCGAAGTGGGTCTTTTTTTTCCAGCTCCAAAACTTGAATGCCCTACCACTGGAAATCAGAAATTGTGAAACAAAAGACTCTTTTCTAACTCATCTGAAGACATATCTTTTTTCCGCTCACTTCAACAAGCGCCGTTGAGCAGTCATGTCCAATCTGGAAACCAGGCGCTATACAAATCAATTATCATTCATTCATTTATACCACCACGGGCACGAAGATTTCCACTGTTCCCGAGTTGCAGAGTCTACTACGCTCCTATAGACTCTCTGACCAGTCCAGGAAGTTCAGACCCTTGGCCTTGGATCTGTCCATCGTCCTTCGTCATATGATTTCTACAGATTATGAACCTTTAGAAGAAAAGGACTTCGAACAAGTGACATTCCAGACATTCTTCCTGGTAGCTTTGGCTACCGCAGCTCGTATATCTGAACTGCATGGGCTTGATGTCAATCGGGTGCGGTTCGAGCGGAAGAAGCATGGTAAGGCTTTCCTGGGTCTCCGCTGGGACTTCATTGCGAAAAACCAACTGCCAGGGCAACTGCACCGGATGTTTACCATTCCCCCGTTGTCCACCATTTTTGGGCCTGATGATAATGAAGATAACGTTTACCTTGATGCCTCCAAGGATCGTCGACGGCTACGGAAGCGCCTCTTCATACCCTTGTCGACCGCTTCAAGAACTGAGGTTTCCCGGACCACATTGGCCTTCTGGATGCATGCCACGATCCTGCGAGCCTACACCTGTGCAGGGTTGCCTCCTCCAGCCGCTTCCAATCCTCATGAGACTCGTGCACTAGCCTTGTCGATGGCCCTCCATAGCAACTGCTCCTTGACCGCTATCATGGAAGGTTGCTTCTGGCGTTCTGATACAGTCTTCTCTTCACCTGCGAGACCTGTCTGTCACGGATGTCCAGGGACTACACCAGTTCAGACCTCTTGTACTGGCTCAGCAGCTTACATTGGCCCAACAATGCAGATGAGGGACGGTTCCGCATTCGCGTTACTGCTTCCTTGTATATACTGAATAAAAGTTGAACTGGATCTCAACCTTTTGTTCTCATTATATGGGTTTAAGAACTACTTCTCTTGGCCTCCATACCAAAGCATCGGAATACGGCCACCTAGTGTGGCCCTACCAACCTGAGGCACAATCAGTATGACGATGCAGAGGTGTTCGAAATTCATGCTTACTAAACTCTACACCACAGAGCAATTAGGTCAGTGAAGTGTGACACTCCCGAATTCCAGTGGATTTCGTTGCGTTCTGACCTCAAAGTTGTTGGGCACATCCTTTGACTAAGCTTAGGCAAAGGAGTGAGGGTCAATTTGATGCTGCCCAGAACTGAACGTTAAACCTTGGAGATGCCGAGTTGTGTTTCTCTTTCACCCGCCTCGGTCGGTGTCTGGGGGGCCTTCTTGAAACAGGGGCTGGCCCGATTCTAGCTGCAAGACTTTAATTACGGGGGTACCTTGTGAATCGTGGCGAGGCGAGGCCTACTTGCCGAGTTGCGTCCCTTGTCTTGTACAAGGTTGCAGCCGAACACCACACGTTGGGAGCACCCATCTCCCTGGGAGCCGTTGTGCTTAGTAAGCCAAGGGGTTCCGGAGAACCCACTACAAGCATAGGAGTTGCGTGCATGCATAACAGGCCTCTACGGTTGTCATCAGTCCACACAGCTCCAAGACCAGCTGTTCGCACTGTCCAGACAGAAGGGTAATCTGCGGCCCACCGTCCAACCATGGGATAAGTGCAAGTCGTGAGATAGGATAAGTTTATAAATTTGGAAATTTAAATATGAATTGTATATTTATATACTTATCCTATCTCATGCGATGGATGCCCGCCCGGCCTCCCCACTACTCAGATTACAACGTTGGCTCCAAGATGAGAATGATCATTCAAGGTAGTCACGTGGGCAATTAGTGGAGCAGCAGCATGGACAAGGAGGCCTATGGAAAAAAGTTTACAGTCGTTCCACTAAAAGTCGAAGAAAGAGAGAGAGGTGCAAGTCGTGAGATAGGACAAGTATATAAATATACAATTTATATTAAAATTTCCAAAATTGTGTTTCATTGGTTAGCAGAGATACCACATGTGACAACTATTTTTATGATGTCCTTAGTTCTTTAAAAAAACCCATTTAGTTAGACAACCTTAAGTAATCAATCAGTATGTTATCAGCTGAACAAAGGATTTTGTTTTTCTCAGACACTACAGACAGGATATGCAAATAAACATACATGTACATATATTAACACTAACTTTGGACATTTCCACTGTGCAAGATAATAGTGATTATTCAGTCAAGATATTATTGGTTAATCCTTTGATTGGTGTTTTACACAACACATAATACATTTGCCACATCACACCTGATTTATAAGGTTGAGTAATTACCCCAGACATGAGAAATGCCAACTAAGAACCTTTGTCAGGTAATGTGAGGGGTGTTGCCACTAATTATACAAGTAATACATTCATGCTGGGATTTGAATCATGGACCTTTCTGACGCCTTGTACAGATGACCAAAGGGGATAACCCTGTCAGCAAGCTGACAAGGTAAGGATGTCATCTGTGGGATGACTCCATGCCCTGCTACCTATTTCCTGGTCAACAGAAGGTTGCATAATTTGGTTCTGAGACATATTTTGCTCAGATTTAATATTCTGTTCACCCGTGAAGATTCGGGTTAGAATTGATCTTCTGTAACCCATGCTTGTCATAAGAGGCGACTAACGGGATTGGGTTGTCAGGCTCGCTGACTTGGTTGACACATGCCATCGTATCCAAATTATGTAGATCGATATTCAAGCTGTTGATCACTGGATTGTCTGGTCCAGACTCGATTATTTACAGACTGCTGCCATATAGCTGGAATGTTGCTGAGTGCAGCGAAAAACTAAACTCACTCACTCACTAATGCTCTGTTCCATTTTAGATTTGCCATGACAGAAGATGGCCAGTGAATTATGTGTGTCAACCTTTAGGTTCATTTGTTTCTTTTAGGTGAAAACAGCCATCCTGATGATGGCCAACATACGCGTGGTCAAAGTGCTGAATGTCCACCTGAGAGAAGTCAATCAGATGAAGGCCAATCTGAAAAGACACCAATTGTGGCTGAGGAAGGTAAACAGTGTGAACAACCATTAGTGATTAATTAAGGATTTAGATGCCTTTAAGTGGTTTTATAATTGTCTATCCTAAAGCTTATTATAACAGCCATTTTAGCAAAAGTTTCGTTGTTGTGGCTCACTTGCAAGCTTTGATTTAATACTTATCATGGATTATCTATAAAGAATGATATAAGAATACTACTTATTCTTTTGCAAGACTAACCAGTTTATACATTTTTCACAAAAATTCATTTGCAAGACCATGGCAGCACAGGTACATTAAATGGACTTGTTTAAAACTCTAGGTCGGGTTTGCAGTTAACAGGTTGTTTACAGCACCACAGACAGAAAGACCCAGAAAGTACGCTTTGGTCTTTTCAGCATCAAAGTCAATGGACTCCTAGTTGTCTCTGACTGCTGACTGACTGATACAACTATTGACTTGCTGAAAAGTACAATAGTATGCATGGCTGGAAGTGTCTGCCATGACGTTCCCTTCTTATAGGCTACTTCAGAGTCATACCATTGTAAATGGAACATTATGCAAACACCGCCTGTGTTTGGGAGCATCAGAATCCAGCATTTTGTGATTGTAAAAACAGTATGTTATGATACACTCAATGAATGTCCTCGATCCCATTACAGCAAATGTAAAATCACTCACCCAGTGGGTTACCTCCCTTTTCCCACCAATGTGTCCCACGTGACCTGAACACTGGCATGCTCTTGTCACTCTTTCCTTCATCACCCAAGTGGACGGTTGGGCAGCTACTCTGGGTCCCTTTTATGGCTTCATATCCTTTTCTATTTAGGCCTATATCCAAATTAATGCCGTGAATTGTATCTTTAGGCATTCTAAAACAATAACTATGTATTTATTCATGTAAATTGTAACTAATTTTTTATATTTTCAATCCGATTTCAGGTGATTGTGTATGCAGGCATGTAAACAATGCAGGCAGCGTACCTCAGCGGCTGACCCTCACCCTGTCTGTTCATCATGCAGGCCTACTTATTATTTTCACGTTATATATACATGTATTGCACACATTTATCAACATTTCAATTTAATAAATTTTTGTTGTCCTGTTTATGCAAGAGTATGGACATGGTACAGTGTGATAACAAGGTCTCCGCTGAGAGGGTTAGTTCTCAGTCATCCAGTTGTGAGTTGTTGTCTTTATTACCAGCCGGTAATAGCCATAATATTTCACCTATGAATGCGTCTGAGCCATTTATTGTGGTCTCTCCCATTTCTACTCAGGTAGCATCGTAGTCCCTCTCTAAGAGGAAGTCCCCTCTTAGGGAGGGATCTGAGTCGCAACTTTCTAAGAAGAAGAAGTCTACGTCTTCCTATACAAAGAAGCCTACATCGTCGAAATCTATGTCAAAGTTGTCTTCATCTAGATCAACTACAAGGTCTGCTAGACCGTCTGTGCCGGCTGCCGAAGATTTGCTGATGACCTGGTATCTGCTGACAGAGCTATCAACACTTCGCTCTCGCAGCCACCATCCTGCAGCCAGAGATCTTCATACATCTGTTGCAGCAGTCATCTCCAGCTAGGGCAGCAGGGTTTGCGAACCCTTCAAGGCAGACTAGTCACGTCCAGGCATTCTACACCTCGCAGTTCCTCCATGATGTCACCAGGATTTGTAAACCCCCAGACGAACGCTACCCAGTCACCGACGTGAAGTTCGCAAAGCCTTAGAGTTAGTACCACATCATCAGCCCTCTGTGCAAGCTTCGACCCAGACGACTTCATGGATAACATTACAGGCAAGGTCATCCAAGCGATGGAACAACGACTAGCTATTGAGCGTCAACTACTGGTCAGACACCCGGCTCCGAGGTTTGCGAACCCTACACCTGAGGAAGGTCCGGCAGTAGAGGAAGATTTACAAGAGGAGTCAGACTCCTTCATCTACAATGACGCGGAGGTCCTATCCTGGATAGCGGACAACCTACCGATATCCTCGCCTACCTTGGACTCCAACCCAGTGGATACTTACTGCATATAGGATGATGACTTTGACTCCATCACCATCCCGCTGATCACCTATATCTCAGGTCCCGAAGAATTTGAAGATGGCTTTTGCCAAGGCTACAAAGAATCAGGGGCAGCATACACTAACCTTCATTGCTCGGAAGTTCCCACTACACAATATGGAACCCTTCCTTAAGGTGCCGAAAATCGATGAAGACTTCTCTCTACTCAGTGATTCCAAGTCACGTAGCTACAGGGTCAAGGACTGCGATCTAGCTCTACTCGACACCACTACCAGGAGGACATTCTTCGGACTAGCAAGATCTCGTGCCATCAACGAGGCAATGATTAGGACATTAAGAATCCGAAGATGGACCAGGAATGAATGATATTGTCAGCGCTCATCACTCAACAAAAGGATCAGGAGTTTGTCTCAGACCTCCTGGCATCTACATCAGTGGGTATCACCCTCTTACGTCGTCAGGGTCTCCTATCATCTTGTTCATGGCCGGATTTGTACACCAAGCCTTTACTACGTAAGTCTTGGGCAGCTTCTACCTTGTTTGACGGCAGAATACGGCAGAAGACCAGAGAAGTCTCACAAGATTCGAAGGAGCAGGTGATAATCAAGTCGATGCAGACCAGGACCAACGCATTTGCCAGTCGTCATAACATAACCAGTTCCAGATTCTCAGGAATCCAGTAGGTCAAGGAGAAAAAGTATTTGTCGTCAAGGGGTGGCAAGTCCATCTCTTTTCGTCGCTCCAGAGTGTTTTCCGGCAGAGACCATTCCTACTCGGCTACTCCTGGTCATCACAGTGCTGAAGTTCAGGTTGTTCCTGTGCAACCGTCAACCGTGAGTGGATGTCAGCTACTGGGAGAATTGGAGACTACTAGACTACTAGAAGACGACTATGTCATGCAAGTTCTATTAGAGGGCTACAGGATCCAGCTCAAGGCAACGCCTCCGCTTAGTGTCAATCCACAGGTACATCGTTATCCCGTGCCACAACGCAGCAAGCTGATGCAGGCCATCGACTCTCTATTATTAAAGAACGCCGTAGAGATCCTGGATCAACGCTTTCTGCCCAGGCTTCTGCTCTCCAATATTCCTGGTACTGAAGAAGAACTCCATGGAGAAGTTCTGCCTCATCTACAATATGAAGTGTTTCAACCTAGACTATTTGCTGAAACCGGACAAGTTCAAGATGTTACACTTACCTCAATTGCGCCATCTCATCAAACCCAACGACTATCTAGCCAGCATAGATCTGCAAGACGCCTACCTGCACATCCCCATACATCCGGCATCGAGGAAGTATTTATGATTCCTGTATCAAGGGTAGCACTATCTAGTTGAAGGTCCTCCCCTTTGGAATGTCCTCAGCCCCGTGGTTATTTACAAGCCAATTGTTGCGTATCTACATCAACAGGGACATCGCAGCGCCTTCTACCTAGACAACGGAATCCAGGCGCATCAACTAGCAGATCAACTCAGACGTCAACTACAGTTTACGATCCATCTACTGACGCAGCTGGGCTGGCTAGTCAACCACATGAAGTCAGAACTAGAGCCATCACAGGATCTGCAGTTCCTCGGCATCAGGTTCCAGACCAGGGAGAATCGCATCACCGTTCCAGAAGTTCGGTGGTCAAGCATCCAGGCATGTCTTCCAGCTGCTCTCAACTCACCACTACCGATAACAGCGTGGCAGTGTCTATAAGGCCTCCTCACGTCAGCACAGGCTCTCCTGTGCAAAGTAAGATTACAGTTATGACCGCTACAATTCTTCCTCAAGCCTCATCTCGACAGTCTGCAGAAGGTTTCCATCCCTCAGCACCTGAAGTTGTATCTACTCTGGTGGACGGACAAGTTGAATATCTGCCGCGGAACCTATTTGCAAAATCTGTCCAACAACCTTCATCTCTTCGTGGATGCATCTCTACAGGGATGGGGAGCTCACTGCAATGAAGAGACCGCATCAGGAACTTGGTCTATGAAAGAAAGGGCTCTACACAACTCTACTGTAGCCTTCTACATAAATCTACATGGCTCAACGAGATCAGTGCCACTACTAGAACTGACATTCCAGCTTTTCAACTTAGCAGACGATCTCAACCTGTGGATGAAGGCCTGCCATATTCCAGGGGCAAAGAATGTTTCAGCCGATGCCTTATCCAGACCGGTCCGACCATCACCAACAGAGTGGATGTTGCATCCAAAAGCGTTCCAGCTGCTGAGCAAAGACCAAGGCCGTCCTCTCATAGATCTGTTCGCTACACTCTTCAATCACCAGATTGCGACGTTTGTCTCACCAGTAGCAGATCATCAAGCCTGGGCTCTCCATGCTCTAGCCATGGGAGAGACTGAATGCGTATGCGTTCCCGCCGCCGATCCTGTTACCACAAGTTCTACAACAGATCGCCCAGACCAAAGTTCTATGACTGATTTTGGTTGCGCCCTACTGACCAGCGAGAACCTTTTTTCCAGACCCAATACAGCTCCTGGGAGAACCAATGCTGCATCTACCAGATTGGCCGAATCTCCTGATCCACCCTCACACAAGGCAATCCAGGAGGGCTCCAGCTGCACGCATGGAACGTATTATGCACTGCCTGAAAAGAAAGGGGGTACACTTAGAGCAGCTAAGGCAGATACACTGGCCTTAAGACGATCAACTCGGAACCTCTATGATGATAAGTGGAAGTGGAGAGTTTTGACCAATTTGCTGCACATTTATAAGGGATTTTCTTCCATGAAAGCTTCACATCCGCAGATAGCAGAATACCTATGTCATCTAAGGGCTACTAGACACATGAAGGGATCTACACTCGCGACATACCTGGCGGCAGTCAGCTCTGTACTCACCATGAATATGGGAGTCAAGCTCACCAAAGTACCCGAACCTGTCGCTCTATTGAGATCAGCAGCAGAAGTTTAGAACTCCGGTCTGGGACCTCAAATTTGTGCTGCAACATCTGACCAGCGACAACTATGAGCCACTGAGACACACTTCTTTCGAGCTGCTAACACAGAAGACGTTGTTCCTCCTTGCTGTAGCTACAGCTGCTCGGCTGTCAGAGATACACACCCTTGACTATAGACTAGCCAGATTTGACTCCGGAGAGCATGCTGCAGTACACCTTGGACTTTGGTGTGATTCATAGCGAAGAATCAACTACCAGGTCAACCAGATAGACAATTCCACATCCTGACATTATCTACGGTTCTTGGACCAGATGATACACAGGGTCTGTCCCTGTGTCCAGTTGGAGCTTTGAAGATATACATCCTGCTATCACCCTGCACGACTATTGAAGTCTCCCACACAACAATGTCGACATATTCTTGACTGTGTTTTGGATTAGAGCTGTCATCCTATGAGCCTAAAAGCTATCACAGAGCAGCAGGGTTAGATCCTCCCAGAGCCTCAAACCCACACGAAGTTGGACCTAAAGTTGGATGTGATGTTTGTGACTGAAACATGGTTGAGAGAGGTAGGTGATTACATCACAATTGCTAATGTCACACCTGATGGTTACACTTTTAAGAAGCCGTCTCTTTTCAAGCAGAGGCATAGCACCGAGATGTCCGAAAGTGGTAAAATGATCTGTGCATGGCGGATTCTGGAATTGGATTTATCATCAGCCGGAGGCATTGCTATGATCTACATGTAGACTTGTTTGAAATAGAGCAGGAGGAACAGCACAAGACATGGGCATGGGCAAAGATGGAACATTCCATCTCTGATGTTAAAGAATGTATGACTCTGAACATGCTTAAGTTAAATGAGGAGAAGACGGAAGCTGCTGTTATGGGGCCTAAGACCAAGCTTTCCAAGTTGTGTCAAGACAAACTACACATTAACCAGACAAGCATCGATATGTCCCGTTGTGAAGAATCTAGGCGTCCTAATTGATGCTGGATTATCGATGGAACAGCGAGTGAACAACATATGTAAAAGTTGTTACTTTCAACTGAGAAACTTGGGGAAAAACCGTCATCTCATAACTGAGGATTCAGCTGCAAAGCTCGCTCGATGCCTGATTCTGACACTCATAGACTACTGCAATAGTCTGCTTGCAAACATACCGGCAACACTCCTCAGTTAGCTTCAAAAAGTGCAAAATCAAGCGGCGAGGATAGTCACCAGATCTCCCTCAAGAATGCACATAACATCAGTGCTTAAGGCGTTACATTGGCTCCCAGTAGCGGCGAGAGTGGACTTTAAAATCCTCATCCTGGCATATCAGTGCGATTCACAATCTGGCCTGATCATACCTGTGTGACCTTGTATGTATGTACATTCAACCATGTTCTCTCAGGTCTGAGAATCAACAGAGACTCATAGTGCCACCATGGAAGAAAATGTCCTTTGGTTACAAGTCCTTTAGTGTTGCAGCTGCCACTAAATGGAACTCAATGCCAGATTTTCTCAAAGACGCCCAGTCGTTGGAACAATTTAAGTGCCTTCTAAAGACTCATCTGTTCCATTTGTACTTTTAAAGTGACCTTGTACTGCTACAAGTTTTTACTTCTTTTCCTTGACTATGAGCATGCCCCAGTGGAGTTTAGCGTCATATAAATGGACATTATATATATATAGCATTAGCCTCCACACTCGCCCTACATTGGAATTGCTCTTTATCATCCATTATGGAAGGCTGCTTCTGGAAGTCGGACATAGTGTTCGCCAACCATTATCTTCGGGATATCGCTACAGAAGATGTATCCGGTATCCACTAGTTCGGCCCCTTGTAGTAGCGCAACAACTCACGATTCCTGTCAGACGATGAGAAACTCACCCTTGTCACCTTGACTTGTGGACGCCAGGCCAGCGGAGAGTCCATGCTCCACTGTCTTATGAGATAAGTCAGCGCATGAGTGATATAGACTCAGTTTGGGTAACGTTCTTGCCATAACGGATGGGTTCTGGTAACGTTTTTACCTTAACATTTGAGTCTTTCGAGATAACTAGACATTGAAGCATACTAGTCCTCTAAATCCATGAAATCTAGTCAATTTACTTCTTTTATTAATTTAAGAGAAGGTGGTCCCCTTGTCTGTTGTACAGACCCTGAAGCAAATATATCCAAGAAAACCTACGCAAGTCTAGAAAATATGGCAAATCTAGATTTCCACAGCTTCAGAAAAAATGAAGAAAGTCTCAGGGCTCCTTTTCATTATATTATATTTTTTTCACTATGAACTTTTTTTTCTGTAAAATATGTTCATTTCAGAGACTAGTTGTTAGTCTAGTGGTCCCCCGATCATCATCAGAATGCAATACGAAGAAGCCGAAAGAAGGTCTCAGGGGTATATCAGCAGATGCTCGTTTGACAAATTCAGTCCCAGGGAGTCCCAGGAGGTGGTTTACCCACCACCTATGATGTCGGATTCCTTAAGCATATAGCATAAGTCCGGATAAAGAAAAATATGTAATTTTTATGATAAAATTTATATTTTATACTTATCCTTACTCATGATTTGAAGGGCCCTCCCACCGTCCCCTCTCAGCACTACGGACCTCACTGTAGGTTTTAGTGCAGGCTTAACTCGGGAGAGAGTGACAAGAGCATGCCAGTGTTCAGGTCACGTGGGACACATTGGCGGGAAAGGGGAGGTAACCTACTGGGTGAGTGATTTTACGTTTGCTTTAGGGAACAAAAAGATTCAAGTTTCCACGTAACCGTTCGAAGGAAAAGGGAGATAAGCATATAGCATGAGTCAGGATAAGTATAAAATATCAAATGACCCAAAGTCAGCCGCCTAACCCGCTCAGCCACCCAAATATAACATATGTTATAATATATTTGGGATTACACTTTCTCAGTAAAGTACAAATTCTACTAGAATTTGCACTTTACTGAGAAAGTGTAATCCCAAATATGACCACTTTCTAAATGGCATTGTGTAATCATAGCTTTCGTCCATGGGAGCTGTGCCAAATTACACTTATCAGAGGGGTACCCAAAGTCTGCAGTCTAGAATACCAGTTGTCCGACTTCCATTTTTGTGGAAGTCGCGGTGGCTGAGCGGGTCAGGTGGCTGACTTTGTGTGCTGGCGATTTAGTGCCTGACTCTGAGGGTGTGGTTTCAAATCCCGGATGGGACTCAACCCAAAAAAGTACCGGTAGTAGAATTTGTACTTTACTGAGAAAGTGTAATCCCAAATATAACAGATGTTGCATGGTAACTGAGGTACACAGATCCCTGACCCATTGCCTATTCCTTCTTTCAGAGTCCACCGTAGACAGAAGTAGAGACAGACTGGCAGTAGGTACATCTGCTGGAGAGTCAGTGATGGCAGAGACTCAAATGACAGGTAATAAATAGTAAACTGTTGAGTTACGGGTGTGAGAAGTGACCAGGGGTCAAGATAATCAATAGTTGTAGTCTGTAAACTTTTCAGGTAACTGAATTCCACCTAGTGACAGTATCTTCATCAAGACAATCAGACGAATCCACTCAGTCATTGTAGATATTTCATAGCCAAATGTTAGTCAGCGGATGACATATGGTGACCTGACTGGAGGGCAGTGGCTACAAATATTATATTTTTTTGCAGTTGCAGAGTATCGTATTAAGGGAAGATTGAAAGAATTGAGTGATGCTCAGGTTCAAAATACCGGTAAGATTGATATTTTATCAGGATTTGTGTATTTTTAGTTCATGTCTTTGCCTGTATGCCTGGTTTCGGTTTGCAGCAGTGCATGTAAACATTTTACTGCAAAGAAAGAGAAGCTGGTTTCAAATGCTGGTCTACCCCCCTCCCCATGATAACTGTAGATGTCCACTGTCCTGCCTGCTATTGTTGATGCATGGATGACACAATATGTCCACTGTCCTGCCTGCTATTGTGTTTGAATTCTTTGTATGTCCTTGAAATTTCGTATATTGTTTCCTATTTATAAGGAAGTTTAAGAAAATATAAATTTTTCCTTATCCTGACTCATGCTTAATTGCTTGTCTTCTTCCTCTTGCGAACTATAGTGGAACACTTGAATCCCCTTTTAAAGCTCCCTTAAAAAAAGTGGACGTAAAATCACTCACCCCAGCTGCCTCCCTTGAAACCATCTTTGGCACGAAAAGGTCACATGATCGGCCATGATTGTTCACTCTCTCCTTCTTCGCCCTAGTGGACGGTTGTGAGAGAGCCTGGGTCCTCTATACGGCATATATCCTTTGAATCTTTAGGCTTTTATACTAAATTAGCTGTATAAGGGCTTTATCAAGGATTTACCAACAATATGGTTTGAAATTAATTCTAAATTTGTCCGTTTTTCACGTTGTTGACAACATGTCTCAACTTGTTTACATTTCATGAAGACTTGCATTTCTTGCAGGTTTCGATTGTCGGCTGCTGATCCGCATTTACTATGTCCTAACTGCACTTCTATATGTTCTTCCAGCCTCCGCTGTAATCTTTGTCAGCATTTATCTCAAATTGAATTTTGTAATTATTTATATTCTGTTCATAGACGTGCCAAGGACAATTTGAGACGGCAGTTATTAGTCATGTCTCAACAGGGTGAATGCGTTAATAACCGTGGGTTGTTGTCTGTCGAGGTACATCATTCCAGTGTGCTGCCGGTGAGGTCTGCAGAGCAGAGAATTGAGGGTTCCGGCCTTAGGGAAGATCGTCTTCGACTCAACAATCCTCGTCGCGTCTAAGAAGACCAGGACACCGTCTGCTGCGAAGACTAAGACGTCTTCAGAAGTCTACAGTCAAGTCGTCAGTGGGGGCAGCGAAGAAGTCGAGGTCCTTCACCGCAGATATCAACCCATTGGATGAAGCAGACGTTTATGATGAGCCGCCGATCCTCATCCCTGAAGTACCGGCGAGAAAGAAGACGAGGTCTTCTTCTACACTGACGTCTGCAACTATATCAACGCAGTCAGACGGCCTATCTGCGCAGACTGCAACTACCAGAGAGGACAGGCAGTCCTTAGATGACACCTCAACATTGTCAGATGCGGCGTCATCTGTACAACAACAGCAGTTATCAGCGCAGACCTTTAACCCGGGCATCTTTATGCAGCAGTTTACCCAGCAGATGATGGACCTGATGGAAGGTAGGTTCGCTCAGGAGAAGACTGCAGAGAAACAGACGAGTCTGCAAGGAGGATGAACATCGTCTACACCTCAGCGGGATGAAGGACGCAACCTGCGTGAAGAAAACGTTCATGAAGGGAACGCCCAGGATGACAACAACGGCCATGACGAATCTAGTGAAGGCATTCGCAGAAGGACCACTGGTGAAGACACTCTTGGAAACAACAACCGAGACAACACCTGCGATTGCATTCGCGAAGGAAACAACAACAGATGAGGAGGCTACAGACGAGGAGCATTCGCGAAGGCATCGCAGATTATCTTCATCCTCAGACTCAGACAATCACCAGAGGTCTACGCGTACACCACGCAGAAGAGATTATACGCCTTCACGAAGGCATACAACTTACAGAGACAGGTCACAGTCGCACAGATCCTCAGCAAGATCTTCATGGTCGTCACCACATGCAGATACAGATCACCTAGTGCATCTCCAATTAGGCATTCATGAGTGCCTGCGCACTTACACATAGATCTCCACCTAGAGATCAGGACCAACAGCAACGACTTTCAGAACGAGACACATCGAAACCGGAAGATGATGGAGGAGTCATCTTCTCCGATACAGAGATCAAGTCATGGGCAGCAACGAATATCTTCGCAGAGGAAGTTGAGGGCATGGCTAAAGAAGTTACGAAGGAGTCCAGAGAAGTTATGATGATCAAGTCCATCGATACACTGGCCAGCGTTATCAGACAGACATCACAACGCTACTCTGGCAAATCTAAATTTGCAGGAATTCAGAGAGCTAGAGACAAGAAATATGACAACTCTACAATATCTTTTGTGTATTCAACACAATCGGTTATTTTAAGGCGCTTCATTGAGACTGATGACTACAGTCTATAAGTATCAACGTTAAGCAAGTATGGAACTTCAGCTGATCATCTGTATAAAATGACATCTGCATTATCTTCAGTGAAGATGAGAAAAGTCACAACAGCCAGGGAAACAGTCGACCTGCATCGGTATTACGCGGCGAAATCTTTCGCGCGTTTTCCACTCAGCCTGCTATACTTGTGTTCACTCGAGTATTCCGGGAAGTTACGGACAAGGCCGAGTGTTGATGAGAGAAATCAACGACTGCACAAGATTTTACAAGGATCTCTTTCCTGCAACACCGGTGACGTCACATCGCGGGAATCTGAGATGAATCAAATGCTGCAATCTGATTGGTCCATGAGAGACAACGCCCTGTGCAGAAGTCAGGCACAGCTCACGTGTCAGGAAGTTATCTACAATCGTAAACAACTTTTCAACGTGGGAGGAAGGCTCCATTTACAGTCCAGTTAGCAGGGTACAGCGTGATTTGACCATCTTCACGGGTCATAAGGACCTTACCTGTCAGCAGTTTGAAGATTGGTAATCTGACGAATTGCAGCAAGATACGTTTGACGATTTCTGCTCGAGGCAGCCAGTCTACTATAAATAGACTTCACAGCGATGGCAATTCCAGTACATCTAGAGACGACGAATTATGCATCATCACTGCACTTGTGGCGATTCTGATGACAAGCCCTTCCAACATATTATCGGAAGATGCCATGTTGCCATGTTGCCAGAACCGGACATGCTGCTTTGCTGCCATTATGGACATGGCAAGGGTACCTACAACATAGGATATGAGCAGATTTTTGGGAAGATGTTCATCTCACCGCAGAATCGCATTGTCGTCTCAAAGAATAGCTGGGTCTAGATACAAGCCATGGTATCTCGTGCACTACTCTCTCCGTTACCACTATGAGAGTGGCAGAGTCTACTCGGTCTCCTCACGTCGGCGCAAGACACGCAGAGGCAGTCTGGATCCATTCGTCCTACCAAACAAACTGAACCATACGACGTGCTTGAGGGAAAGAGGATATTCCACCAGAGTGGCCAAAGCAGTAACTTTAGCCTTACGCAGATCAACCCGTAACTTGTATGATGACAAGTGGCAAAGTTTGAGAAATACGCTCGGAATAAAGGCTTCACTGCAATAGAAGCAACACATCCTCAAGTGGCGGAATATCTTTGTCATCTTAGACAGACAAAGCGATGGAAGCGATCTACACTCTCTACATACCTAGCGGCCTTGAGCTCAGTTATCACGATGAAGACGGGTATAAAACTGACAAAAGTACCAGAGATACTGGCACTACTACGCTCATTCAAGTTGGAAGACCAACAAAGAAAATTCAAGGCGCCCGCTTGGGATCTCAACGTGATTCTACAACATCTTACCAGCGAAGATTACAAACCACTAGAAAGGACATCATATGAGAAATTAACTCATAAAACACTGTTCCTCGTAGCCTTAGCTACAGCGGCAAGGATGTCAGAAATTCATGCTCTAGACTTCGAACGAACAAGATTTGACACGCATCGTGACACAGTGCATCTGGGACTAAGATGGGATTTTATAGCTGCCCGGTCAACCAGACAGACAATTCCATATCCCAGCACTTTTGTCGATGTTAGGACCACAGGATACGCAAGACCGATCCTTATGTCCAGTCAGAGCACTCAAAGGCGCTGAGATAAATCTCACCCTTTTGTCACGTGACTTGTAAAAGCCAACACTCAACAGAGTACGGTTTTAGAGTCCATGCACATGTCTAGGACAGGCTAGCATGAGTGATAGACCCGGTACTTGTAAGGACTTACTTGTACATGAAGTAGGGTCACTTCACTTGATGCATGCATCAAGAGATGGAGTCGTATAAAATCCACACAAAATGTCAGGAGAAGATTTCCAGGATAAATCTGACAAGCTGTGGTCCCCCACATTCATCAGAGGAAGCTGGAAGAAAGGACAAATGCCATTAGAAGTTCCCAAGGGGGTATAAGGACGTTAATCAGCAGAGAATCCAGAGTGGCTTGACCCACCACCGTTTCCGTCGGATTCTACAAGCAATTAAGCATGAGTCAGGATAAGGAAAAATATGTGATTTTCTGACTAAAATTGATATTTTATACTTATCCTGACTCATGAGGTTAGCCCTCCCAACCTCCCCTCATGGCACTCTGGATTTCCCTGCAAATCCAAGTGTCAGGGCTCGAAATAACGGAGAGAGTGAACAAGCATGGCCGATCATGTGACCTTTTCGCGCCAAAGATGGTTTCAAGGGAGGCAACTGGGGTGAGTGATTTTACGTCCACTTTTTTGAAGGGAGCTTCAAAAGGGGATTCAAGTGTTCCACTATAGTTCGCAAGAGGAAGAAGACATGCAATTAAGCATGAGTCAGGATAAGTATAAAATATTAATTTTAGTCAGAAAATTACATTCTTCAGTAACCTCTAAACCATTACATCTAATTCAATCAATGTGCATATGAAGTATTTTAGTATGAAGAATACCAGACACTTACCTCTGTAAAAACATCATAATCCCCTTTCTCGCCGACATGTGTTCATTTGCCAAACACTGTACAAGCCTATGATAATGATTAGCAATTGCTATCAAAACACTTTAAATACTTCTTCTGATTGACACTAAAGGTATCTTCTCACGCAAGAAAAGCTAATATTTGCTCAGT